GTAAAGGAGGAGGATAATAACAATTCCTGCCACCTAGAATTGTGAGGATTCACTGGAATAACAATGTATTAAACAGGCATAAAACAGTTTGTGGCACAAAGAAAGGCACCATACATGTAAGTATTTGCTGTTCTTCTTACTATACCAAAAAGAAAAAGACACCTCACATTATCTTTCAATAAAAAAACAGTGAGCTGCGACGATTCTGCCCCCACACTGATAACAGAACACGAGAAAGAAACACACCAGAGTTGCATGGATTTTCGTTATCTATACAAGGAAGAACCCCAAGAGGCAAGAGTGGTGTGGCACTATAATGAGGTAATGACACAAGCTGAGGAGGCTGTTTTCTAGGCCTGGTACGGTTATTAAATTTACTCCCATCCTATCTAAGGATATACCCTACAAAATAAGTGTACAACAGCAGGAGCCTCATTCATGAAAACTGTTCACACAAACAGGTTCAGGTTCTTCCTATGTCATGTAAAGCAGGGCTATGCCCGCCCACCTTTGGTGCTAAAAATTCTGAGAGCACAGTTCCACTTAAGGCTTCTGATGATTTAAGTGTTGTATGTGTAAGTGTTTGGAACGAATGGGTGACATGCACGCTCACTGAATAATATCAGGTGAAAGCATTTCTGAGGAATGAACCCTCTTCATTACCCAGGCCTTGCTGCCTTGGCAGAGGGGGGGTGTTGGTCTCATTCACTTCAGTGCACGGTAGTAATTCTGTCAAATCTCAGTACTTATAAATGCGAGTTGAATGAATTAATGAATAAACAAATGGGGAGACAAAAAGAGCACAGTAGTGAAGGCTTGTAGTTCTGAATCAGTAAATTTCCTGGTTTTATCACCTAGGAATATGTCAGTACATAAAGCTTACAGGAACGTCTTTCCTTTACCATCAACATCTTAAAAACAAAGAAAACACTTACTAAATAACACCAATGTAATACTCATCATTAATTACTTCTTTTTTTTTTTTTTGAGACAGAGCCTCAAGCTGTCCCCCTGGATAGAGTGCTGTGGCATCATAGCTCACAGCAATCTCCAACTCCTGGGCTCAAGTGAGTCTACTGCCTCAGCCTCCCAAGTAGCTGGGACCACAGGCGCCTGCCACACGCCCAGCTATTTTTTGGTTGCAGCCATCATTGTTGTTTGGCAGGCCTGGGCAGGATTTGAACCCGCCACCGTAGGTGTATGTGGCTGGCACCTTAGCCGCTTGAGCCACAGGCGCTGAGCCGATCATTAATTACTTCTAAAGTTGTCTACAAAAATGCAGAAAAATATATAAGGCAGAAAGTATAATTTAATTATACTAAGTAAAATTTAATTAAGCCAATCACAGGAATCTGAAGTCTTACAGGGCATTACAACATGATCGTTACCCATATGCTTACACTTTAGAGTTTGTGTCTTAATTTACTAAGTCTGCTATGTGTAGAGCAAATGGAATTTCAGATGGCAAAGGTTCTCTAGTCTCCCTTCCCTCTCTCATCAGGGAAGAGAGGAGCTCCCAGGTAATATAATGACTTGTCCAAACAAAAACTAAGTCCTTCTACTCCTTTCTGCATTGGGCACACACATTACCATCCCACAGAGTTATTTGGCTAGTGTAATCGTGTTTTTTCAAACATTAAAATAAGAACTCACATTCAGTTTTCATCACTTGAAGACCCTGACAAAATATTTAAAACTCTAAAGGCGTCTTGGAATAGATACTTTAAAAAGAAATACCCCATGAGTACACCTAATATGTGAACATTCAGCTCTTCTATCTTCATATCCTTTGACCTTCAAAATTCCCCAAATAAGACCTGTGCTGCAGTCCCTACCAGCCTCATGGAAGTAGCCCAATGAAAGGCACCTCCCCAGCAGCCTTTGAAACCACACCTTTTTCCTCTCAACTTCTGAACAGTAACAATTAAATTCTTTCCAGGAACTACTTTAGAGTGGGGGTTGGGGGGAAGGTAAAAAGCAGATACACAAGTGTGAGGAGGCTAACTACGGAGACATCAAGAACATCCTGAATGTTCCCCCTGGTAGGCAGTCCCAGCTCCCAAGTCCCTTCTCAATGGCTTTGGCAGCATGCCTGGATAGGAATGGGGAAGTTTCACCATATGCTTCCTCCCCCACTTACTGTAACAATACAGGGGAATGCAGGGGACAAGACCCACCCACACCCAGAGAGGTGCCTGTAAGTTGAACCCTGAAGCTGCTGTAACTTTATAAAGTCCAAACACACATTCCTCTTAGAAACGTTGACTCTCCCTAGCAGCCACTGCTCAAGGAAAGCTTCACTGTGGCCCCGAACTTAAGGGCGAGAGGAAACTTCTGATAAAAAGTTTACAGAACACTACTTCTGACTTGTCTAAATGCTTCAAGATATATTTACAGTACATTCACTGTAGCACTGTTACTAACTACAAACAATTAGACAAACACTGAATAACCACCAAATAGTGGTACAGACATATACAGCCATTAAAAATTATGGCAAAAATCACATATGGTGACAAAAGAAGATATTACTGATATGTTCCAGGAGAAAAGTAACACAGAAATTGAATGTACTAGTACATTTTCCTAAAATACACACTCATACCAAGTTATGCTGTTATAGACACAAGAGAAAATCTAGAAGTATATAAACCAAATTAATAGTGGTGCACTTCCCCCTACCCCACTTTTACACTATTCACATTTCTTATCCTTTCTAAACCATGTGATAATTTGTGTATATAACTTAAACTAGCAAAACTTGATTTCAAAATGCTATCTCTTAAATAAGGTGTATCACCTATATTTAAAAGTCCCTCAGTATAGCTCACTTAAATTATAAACAGACTTGGGAGTTCTTGACAAGCCCATGGGCTGCTGACATTATAACAATGAACAGCAATCACTACCATGAACAGATCTCATGATTGTCTCTGCCTGCTTTTTAAAAACTCATCTTGATGGCTGGGCATGGTGGCTCATGCCTGTGATCCCAGCACTTTGGGAGGATCACCTGAGCCCAGGAGTTCAAGGCCGACTTGCGCAACTTGGTGAGATCCTGTCTCTACCAAAAGTAAAAAAAGAAAAAAAGAAAAAACTTAGCCAGGCATGGTGGCACATGCCTGTAGTTGCAGCTACTCGGGATGCTGAGGCAGTAAGATAGTATGACCCCTGAGTTCCAGGCTACTGTGAGCTATGATTGAGCCCCACACTCCAGCCTGGGTGACAGAGCAAAACCCTGTCTCTAAAATAAAAAATCGTTGTATTCCCAGCAGTTTGTTGAATTGTCCTTTGCCACATGCATTACAGTAAGGAGATCTGAACATCCTTGCTGCTCCTATTTGGTAAGAGCTCTTTTTAATCTTGCTGCTCTGCTGGAAGAAGAGCCAAGTCTTCTCGTATCACCACTGCCTTCACGGATCCCTCACACCTCTCTAGGTGGACAGAGCCAGAGCTCTGGGCCCTGATAGGTGGGGATGCAGCCAGCACAGCTTTATCCACTGCAGTGAGAAAAGACCTCCCTGTGGAACCACCTGGAGTGAGATTTACCTAAACAAATAACAGAGATATGAATAGCAAACTTCTTGAGTACTAGAAAGAGAAGTTTTTAAGAAGTCCCTTATGTAATTAAAAAAAAAAAAATCACCCAGCAACTGTCTACAGTGTATTCAGTCCTGTAGACAAATATTTCTACACATCTGGAGAATCACTGACAGACGATTTTTCAGAATATTCACAAGGGAACCCAAACCACACAACTTCCTCCAAGAAATTATGAGTTAAATCAGCTGGGAGCTTTAAGCAGTTAAATCTATATGGCCTGTGAGAGGCTCAAGCAACTCCACAGATAAACAAGCTATTATACTATCAGAAAGGAATCCAAGATAATGAATAACATTTCCAAACAAAATAGCAGGGGGAGGGAGAAACCTAAATCTCTAACATGAAAATCTTCAGTGAAAAAGACCATCATATTTTACTGACTTTCTCAGCTTAGGGTTACCAATATATTATTAAGGCAACAAAATACATAAGACAGTCTAACATATCAGAGAGGAAAGCATGTGAGTTTAAATCAAATCTGTAACAGGACAGTTTAATAAGTGCACACTCTTAGAGACGTTAATTGAAAATTAAGTGCATGCATAACCACTTTATGGTAACAGCAACTGAACCTCTAGGTTAAAATAATTCACCATATAAAATCACTAAGTAGTAGTTTAACAATCCCTTTAAAAGATAATTTGAAAGGTTCAATTGTCCCCTCTACAGCAGCACATGGTGGTGGTTTCTTGCAGCTTGCTTTAAAAATCATGTGTCTTTATTGTACCAAGGAAATTCCAAGAGAGAAGCACAACCTACTCAGCACAACCATTTTCAAATTCCTCCCCGTACAAAGTCCCTTCAAGCACTCACTTTCTCCTAACTGCCGAGAGTTTAGCTAACATTAGGAACAGAAACTTTAAAACTTTAGATTCTATAAGTTGGTTCACAGTTCAGGTTCTTTTCTATTTTGTTCAAGGCAAACCTCCTTCTAAAATGAGTAAGAGAGAAAATACGTAATTTCAGCTGTTATGTTCCTTAAACCCCCTAACGGCACCTGCCTCATTTTCTTAATAACATAAATAGACAATGCAGAACAGGTTTGCAAAGTACATCGTTTCAACCCTATAGCTGCATTTAAAATGAGCTTCCCTGGGTTTACATCTGGAAACACTGCAGCTAGGTGGGACACAATTTTGAACAATACATGATTGTTCTATACAAAGAAGCCTCCTGGAAACCACGTTCACCCACAAAATGTCAACATTTCTTTCCTTACAAATAAGATCACAGTGGAACCAAAATCAATCTGCGGGGAAAGAGAGAAAGGGGTTCACAAGAGATAAAACAGCAACTTTTAAAACCAAACAAAGGCAAGAGGTGTCAATCCCGTACACACACACAGTAACAACACCGATGGAGAAGACACAGCCACACTCTGGACAAGACCCTCTTACCAACACGGGGCACGGGCTCTCTGCTTCCACTTCACCCTGAGCTGCATCCTTGCATTGCAGGGGGGACTCGATCACCAGCTCCTTTTTAACACTTCTACTACTTGTCCTGTATTTATCAGCCTGCATTTTCGGCTAAAAACGCAAGTCGGCAAGTCTGCAACTGGGACAGCTGCAAATCCCTGGCTGTGCAGGGCACACACATGCCAGTGGCCCGGGGAAGGAAAGGAAACTGGCTTCCCAGGCACAACTGGTCAGCCCCCTGGCTGGGTCTGCAGAGCCTCCGGGGCGGGCAGGCATGAAGCAAAGGCCAGCCTCCAGGGGTGTTACTACTTACTGCTCAGAGAATGGGAGGCTCCCGCTGGCCGAGGGAAAACAAACCAAACAATACACAGTGTACTACCTCTCAGATAAAGACCAGCCTCATTGTGCCTGTTCCACACGGCGTGGGCCAAACAAATCCAAATCAAAACACTGCAATGTTTAAAAGAAAACCAGACACAGTCAGACTCCTTCATAACGACCTCGAAGCCAAAGCTCACAGAGCTTAAGAGACAGTTTGGTCGTCTGGTTGTCCTAAAGTTCTTAAGGTTTCAGAATGCTTGCGTTTGGGTTTTGGCTGAACATCAAATGCTTGGCTGATGATCAAAGCAGGGAAGAGAATGAGCAAGGGTGTTCCCGTGAACCTCTGTGAACGTAGCCTGCACCTCATGGACACAGGTGTGCAAAGAGTTTTCCCTGCATGACAGACCGCAGCACACAAACTTAATTTATGTACTATTTCATACCAGAAAAATGAGGTCATCTAATATTTTCATGAGATACCATATATCAAGACAAAGGCTTTTATTAAACAGAATATTAATTCAAATCCATCCACATGGGTATACCAGGTACTGAGAGGATCACAGTTGTTGGGGGTCAGAGGTCCCAGTTCACTGAACCTATTTGACCTGTTTGATTACTTGGCTGAGCTAGAAATCAACTGAGGCATGGCAATAAATGAAAGCAAAAATGAATGGAAACTACAAGATATTTGCAGGTTATGTCTCTGACAAAGGTTTAATAACCAGAATCCATAGAGAACTCAAACGTGTTAGCAAGAAAAGAACAAGTGATCCCATCTCAGAAAGAACAAGTGATCCCATCTCAGGGTGGGCAAGGGATTTGAAAAGAAATTTCTCTAAAAAAGATAGGTGCATGGCCTACAGATATATGAGAAAATGCTCACCATCCTTAATCATCAGAGAAATGCAAATCAAAACTACTTTAAGATAACACCTAACTCCAGTAAGATTAGCCCCTATCACAAAATCGCAAAACCAGAGATGTTGGCGTGGATGTGGAGAAAAGGGAACACTTCTACACTGCTGGTGGGAATGCAAACTAATACGTTCCTTTTGGAAAGACGTCTGGAGAACACTTAGAGAACTAAAAATAGACCTGCCATTTGATCCTATAATTCCTTTATTAGGTATATATCCAGAAGACTAAAAATCATATTACAACAAAGACATTTGTATCAGAATGTTTATTGTAGCCCAATTCATAATTGCTAGGTCATGGAAGAAGCCCAAGTGCCCATCAAATGGATCAATATATTGTGGTATATGTACACCGTGGAATATTATGCATCCCTAAAGAAAGATGAAGACTTTACCTCCTTCATGTTTACAAGGATGGAACTGGAAAATGTTCTTCTTAGCAAAGTATCTCAAGAATAGAAGAAAAAATATCCAATGTACTCAGCCCTATTATGAAACTAATTTATAGCTTTCATATGAAAGCTATAACCTAATTATAGCTCATAAAATAAATCAGTGGCTTCTATAATAAAATTTTTATACACTGCCCAATTTCTCAATGTTGGCTAATCTTTCTGAGTAAATATAAGCTCTCCAACCAAATCTGTGTTCCAAAATAACATCTATGAATTTTAAAATTCCTTCTTTGTGGCTCAGCGCCTGTGGCTCAAGCGGCTAAGGCACCAGCCACATACACCTGAGCTGGCGGGTTTGAATCCAGCCTGGGCCCGCAAAACAACAATGATGGCTGCAACCAAAAAAATAGCCAGGCGTTGTGGTGGGTGCCTGTAGTCCCAGCTACTTGGGAGGCTGAGACAGGAGACTCGCTTGAGCCCAGGAGTTGGAGGTTGCTGTGAGCTGTGATGCCACAGCACTCTATCCAGGGGGGACAGCTTGAGGCTCTGTCTCAAAAAAAAAAAAAAAAAATTCCTTCTTTGTAAAGTTACAGGAAGATAGGAAAAAACCTCAAACCGTCTCAGTTACATATATAAAGAACTAAAATAACAGGTAAGTCAAAACTTAGAAATGTCCTATAAAATCAGCAAGGGAAGAAAGGATAAAGCCGTAAGCACAAAATACAAACTGAGCCTCAGTAAAGTACAGCATAACCAACAACTCTTAAACCTTTCTGAGGTGGCTCAGGAAGTTCTAAATGGCCCAGTTCTTCCGCAAATTCCCATTGTCATTAAGCCACCAGAATTTCTATATTTTAACGTGAGAAATGTTATCCTATTTGTTGGGCCAAAATACCTTAGTTTTCTGTAAGGAATAAGAAGACACTTAAGAGATTATTTATTTGGCAAACACTGTAAGTACTCTCCTTGTCCCAAGACCTGTTCAGACCCTGCCCAGATACTAATTCATTTAATATGCATAACAACTTATGCAATGTTGTCCCCATTTTACAGATGAGGTAACTAATGCCCAGAAAGGTCAAATACGTGCAGAAGGCTGCACAGTGAACAGTGGCAATATGAATCCAGTGTGCACGCTCTTCACCAGCATACTATGCTGAACCAACTGTTTATTCCAACCACCACTCAAACTGCTAAAAGGCACAACACTGATCATCAGTCAGCAATTAAAGATAAAAGCAGCATGTGCATTTAATCCCATTAAGGGAGTTGAATGAAAAGGTAAAAAGGTCTTTAAATGTCTTAAGTGCCTAGCACAAAGCAGGTGTTCATTTAATGGTAACTATTGTTTTTGTGTTTTTATTCCAACCTGAAGAAATTAACTAGAGCCTTAAATTTAGGACTTTGGATTGTCTGATCTAAAAGGGCACTTCCACCAATGTGCTGCTACAAAAATTACAAAATGTTTCAGCAATTTAAAAAAACAACCATTCTCCCCTCTTTGCTGCTTGGTTATAACAGCTACACCTTGAACCCCAAATGTTCCTACCATGAATCAGGTATGTTTTTCTTGATGTTTTTCTCCTTTTTTCAAAATTTTTAGCAATTATTTTACATTTGTTTTGTCATCAAAGAAAAAACTGGTACTCAGTTCTGAGTTTCCAGGTAGCGAGTTTCATAATTTCCATCATCAAAAAAGAAAAAATATACCAACTTGTAAAGTAAGTAAAATGACTTTAGAGTTCTTCACAGAGAGATTTATCTAAATGGAGCCTGATTAGATATTAGACAAGGTTCTCTACACATTAACAGAAAAAAACAGTAAAAATCACAAAGCTGTTCCCTACCCCCATCTCAGAGCATTACCCTTAAATCCCAGGTTGAGTAAAGCAATTCTGAGAGCAAGACAGTCATCAAAGTCCACCACCTTCAAGTGGGTCCAACTTAGGAAAGAAGGGAATTCTGAAGCTTCAAAGAATGAGGATGCCACTGTCAGCTCTCCCCCCACAACAATCCTCAGGCCCTTTAAGGCACTTGAGTTCTCCATTGCTCATGGAGGACAGATGGACACTTCAGAAACCTGACGGTCAAAAAGCATCACATGGTGCAGCATTCGGCGTTAGATCCTAAACCTCTGAATAGGATGTGGTTTCTCTCAAGGGCTCATGAGACTGAGGATGTGAGGATGACATCTGGTTGGGGCAGCCACTAGAGGAAATGCCATTGGAGGAGGACAGGAAGCAGGTGGCCAAGTTAAACATTTCAGTGAACAAGGTATATGTCAGACATCAGGATTCAGACTCCACAAACATTCCCCAGGCTCCTCCTTCTATCCTACTAACCTCAAGCTCCTTCACATACCACTTATTTAACCCTTACAATAACAAACACATCTATAACCTATATGCAGGGGATAGACTTTTACTATTGGAAGAGAGTAAACCTCTGGGGAAGCAAGAACACTTCAGAAGCAAGACGGAATGAGTGTCTCTGTACATGGGTTTTAGTTCTCAACTTTAATAAGAATACAAATTCATCATACAGGCTGGATATTCAAAACCACGAAAGCTTCACAGGAAATTTAAGGGGTTTTCTACGGACAATTTTTTATTCTAAGGAAGGCTAGCTTTAGATCCAAGAGCCCCATCTTCCTCTTCCTACTGGTTCCCACCTGAGAGACTCCAACTCATGCCCAAGACCCAGTGTAAACCTCTCCTTCCAGTGACTCCTCCCAAGATCCTCTCAGACAGAATGAACTAGCTCCCTCCTCTGTTACCCATCTGGGCACTACTTTTACCTCTATAATGGAGCTTTTCAGAGTCTACCTTTTATTAAGTTTATTCCTGTCAAATTCTCTGGTAACATTATAAACTCATTGAGGGCAGGGGCAGTATCTTAACCACCTTTGAGTCTCCAGTGTCTTAGGGATGGGAAGCAGTGCCAAGGTATTTGCTGTACTGAATGCTGATGTCAGTTTTGTCCTACTGGTCACCTTTAGCCCTAAAGTGAAATGCAGTGCTTATTAAAATATGCAAATTTTCATTTGTTAAGGGCTGAGAATTAAAGAAGTTTTCAGCTGCTCATAAATCGAAACCCAACATATAATTTACTAAAAATTAAAATGTTCCTTTCTCCCAACTAAAAAAAAATGTTATTCTGCAGAATTTGTTAGACATTTTTTAAGACAAAGGTATATTTACAAACAGTATAATTGAACCTTTAAAAAGTATAAATAAACTTGTTTTTAGCAATAAATCTATATAGATTTTGAAACATTATTTGCTGTAGCTAATAAGTATATGATGAATAACTGTACAAGGAATAAATATCAATTATCTCAACCTTCTGGAAGTTTTTTACTCTATTAGGAGTTTTGGCATATCAGAAAGATATTTAAAATATGACAACTTTAAAGGCAAAAGAAAAATACACATTACACAGGCATGTGTGTGTGTATTTATATCTCTCCTCTAAATGGTCATTCCTTTTCTCTTGTTCTGGGAAAACAGAAACAGTAAGTAGAAATTTTTAAAAATTGCAAAAGGGAGCAAATAACTAAAGATTTCCCACCTGTATTGTTACTGGTCAGCTTGCTGGCCAAAGAAAAGAAAAAGTGTCATGACACTGATCTGCTCTTCTGAG